TGTGTGTGTGTGTATGTGTGTGTACGTGTTTGTGTGCGTGTGTGTGTGTATGTGTGTGTACGTGTTTGTGTGCGTGTGTAGAAATCTAGGTAGATTTTTGCTAGCTACCACCTATGTACTCACACCTACCTAGCTACCCCCTCCCCCCTCCACTTGCGAGAGTTTGTCTCGTTGTCCACCCGGCGAGTGAGAGCGAGCTGCGATGACAACTTGTCGGCTCGCAGGTCACGTTTTACGTCACGCAACGGCTTGGAACATCCTCAGGGCGGGCGTGACAGATCATTGATGACCAGTTGTAGAACGAAGTTCCACAGGTGCTCACAACAAACAAACACACCCTCCCTTGGAACTTTATTTTCTAATAAACGGTAAGTAAACAGTGGGTAACGAAAGAACTGAACGATTTTTTGAAAGAAAAACGGAACGCCTTTAGAAGCAATAACATGAACCAAATCAAATGTACTTGATATCTATAAAGATTAAAAGAAAAATTGTTTATTGTAAACAAGCGTACAAAACGAGTACTGAAAACAAATTTCAGACTAACAATATGAGTAATATGTGGTCCTCTTTGAATAAAATAACGGGTTACGCTGCAATAAGAGAGAGAGAGTGTGTGTGCACGTGAAAACGAAAGAGACTATGTAAACGCGTTTTAAAACTGTAATTGTCGTTTCGACTGTTCTGATTTTAAGAAAGAGCAACGTGAACTTAAACACAGGCTGAGAGACCAGTTGAGCAAGGAGGAGTGTGTTCAGCTCTATGAGCGGGGTGTTAAAAAGAAATTTCGAAAGTGTAAAGATAAACATAGCCTGTGGCCCAGACGGAGTGAAAGAGAGAGTGTTGAGAACTTGTTGTGAGCAACTGGCGCCGCTATTTACTTTCATTTTTAATCTGACCCTACAAAAAAAATACATTCCTACAATATTGAAAACATCGGAGGTAATACCAATACCAAAAAGCCTAAAATAATAAATATATGAATTAAATGATTGAAGACCAGTCGCTCTTACATCCATTGGTTTTAAGTGCCTTGAAAAATTGATCCTCTCAAATATTCTAGGTTGTGTTCGTGGAAATCTAGATCAATTCCAGTTTGCATACAAACAAGAGAGGACCATAGAAGATGCTGTAGCCTACTTTTTTGTGTATTACTATACTGAAACACCTTGAAACAGCTAAAACGTACACGTGGGTACTTTGTGTTGATTTTTCTTCAGCATTTAATACATTTCAACTGCATATTATCATTGAAAAACTTCTGAGTCTGAAAGTTAGTCATTACATCGCAGCAACGGTCCTGAATTTTTTTTACAGGCAGACCACAATATGTTAAGTTGAACAACACAAAATTTGACACAATCCTTTGCAACACCGGCGGTCCTCAGGGGAGTGTGACGATGGTGGTGGTGATGGTCGTGGTGGTGGTGATGGTACTGGTGATGGTGGTGATGATGGTGGTGATGATGATGGTGATGATGGTGGTGATGATGGTGGTGATGGTACTTATGATGGTGGTGATGGTGGTGGTGATGGTGATGGTGGTGGTGATGGTACTGGTGATGGTACTGGTGATGGTACTGGTGATGGTGGTGATGATGGTGGTGATGGTACTTATGATGGTGGTGATGGTGGTGGGGATGGTGTTGACGGTGATGGTGATGGCGGTAATGGTGGTGATGGTACTGGTGATGGTGGTGGTGGTGGTGGTGGTGGTGGTGTTGATGGTGATGATGACGGTGATGGTGGTACTGGTGGTGATGATGGTGGTGATGGGGGTGGTGATGGTAGTGATGGTGGTGGTGATGGTGGTGGTGATGGTGTTGACGGTGATGGTGATGGCGGTGATGGTGGTGATGGTACTGGTGATGGTGGTGGTGGTGGTGGAGATGGTGTTGATGGTGGTGATGGGGGTGGTGGTACTGGTGGTGATGATGGTGGTGATG